CTTAATAGCTTTGGAACTTTTTAATTTTTTAATTTTTGTTTTAGTGCTAAAGTAATGTTCAATTGCGCGAGTGTGATGAATGAAAGTGTAGCGTGACCTGAAATTCGAAAAATTTAGACCTAAAATTGAAAGAGTTAGACCTGGAATTGGACCATTTCGAGCTAAACTTGGAAGAGCTAGACCTGAAATTGCAAAAATTTAAACCTAAAATCGCAAGAGCTAGACCTGAACTCAGAACATTTAGACCTAACATTAAGCACTTTAGACCTGAAATTGTAAAAAAATTGCTGATTCCAATGATTCCAATTGGATTTCCCCCTAGTAATCGCTACTTTTATTACCCCTAACTGTACTAAGTACCACAAAAAGTAATAGTAATAGTAATAACAATAACACTACGAGTATTTTCACGAGTTATATAATATCTATTAATAATAAATTNGAACTGAATTTTCGATTGAGTTGATCGTTTGTGAATGTTTAGTAGACTTAGTGAGAATTTATTACGGTTTGAATCGTGATAGAGGGCTGCTAAAGGTGCCAGAGAGTAAAGTTTTAAGTAAGTAAGTAAGTAAGTAAGGAAGGAAGTAAGTAAGTAAGTATCAAGCATGAATAGATGAATAAACGCATCATATAAGGTCTGGAGGGTAGTTGTGACTTGTCGAGGGGCTTGGGAAGTCTAGAGGTCACTTGGGAAGTCTAGAGGACACCTGCGAAGTCTGGAAGGTACCTGGGAAGTTTATAGGCTACCCGTGAAGTCTAGAAGCTACCTGGGAAGTCTAGAGGGTACCTGGGAAGTCTAGAGGCTACCTGGGAAGTCTATAAACTACCTCGGAAGTCTAGAAGCTACCTGATAAGTCTATAAACTACCTGGGAAGTCCAGAAGCTGCTTGAGAAGTCTAGAAGTTACCTGGGAAGTCTATAAACTACCTGGGAAGCTAGAGGCTACCCGTGAAGTCTAGAAGCTACCTGATAAGTCCAGAAGCTACCTGGGAAGCTAGAAGCTACCCGTGAAGTCTCTAAGCTACTGGATAAGTCTCAAATAAGCTATAGCTTGCTATTTTTTTCCCAAATAATTTATGGAAAGCTTAATGGAAAACTAACTAACTTGCCCGGAAAATTTATTTGGTGCATTTTAGCGGAATGAATTCATTTAGTATGAATTCGATGTGATGCGATGCGTTACGAATCATATCGTTTGTAACTTCTCCGACCACATCAAATATGAATTTTTTGGAAAAAATGAAAAAATGGAAAATGGAAAATAAAAATGAAAATAATTTTCGAGAAATTTATTCTCGCGTGTGCACTTATAAGCCTAAGCCTAAAGTGCAACAGGATCAGATAAATCCTCACGGATAGAGGAAGCCTAACTGCTTTTCTAGATCGTTTGTGAATGCTCTGAAGCCTTGCCGAAGCTGAATTCATCGACCANTTGACCTTTGACCTCGGACATATTGTGCCCATTGCTAGAGGCTTGACTGCTTTTCTAGAGCGTTTGTGAATGCTCTGAAGCCTTGCCGAAGCTGAATTCATCGACCATTCAGCTGTTTAAGGGCTTTGGTGATCCCTCGTATTTTGGTGCATGGATAGTAGTTGCTTGCTTGGTGACCTTTGGTGACCTTTGACCTTTGACCTCGGACATATTGTGCTTATTGGTGACCTTTTGACCTACCTATGCACATTTTCAAGCGTTGACACTAGAAACCTCACGATTTGAGGCCATATTTGGCCATTGGGAAAAATTTCAGTGCATGATTTTTGATTTTTTAAAGAGATTTCAGTTCAGTTAAGTGATTTTGAGCTGTTACTGATTTAGGATGATTACCCTTTGGGAGATTTTTTCCCAAAAAAATGCTGGGAAATGGTCGGGAAAAATAGATATCACGTGAAATTCGTTTTAAGAGCACCTAGGCAAATTGAAGCGAAACAAGAGAACCAACCGAAAAGACATTCATCATCTATTTATCAACGTAGTGATTTATTAGCGAGAAAAATTTTAAAAAATTTGATTTTTTAAATTTCAATTTTAAAATTTTAAAATTTTTTAAAATTTCAAAAATTTTAAAATTTTCAAATTTTCAAATTTCGTATTTGTTTCAAAAATAAAACATTTTTAGTTTCCATGGTACCATAAATGGTAAATTCTCTACTGACATTTGAGAAAAATTTTAGAATTGGGAAAGTTTTCAGCTGTTTTTCCAATTTTCCAATTTCCAATCGGAAATTTCCGTTGTGAAAATAAAAAATTCCGCCTAATTTTTTCCCGCATCGTCCAAATTTAAATTGATTCACTATAGTTTAAAAGCATTGATTACAAACCACCACCACAACACAATTTGAATGGTGTTTAATTGCCCAATCGGAATAATTTTACAATTTAGCTGCCAAATTTTTTCCATTTTCCATTTCATTTCATTCCATTTTTTCCATTTCCGTTTGAAATTTTTCCACTTTTTGTGGTTTTCTAAATTTTTTTCATTTGAATTTTAAGGAATTTCATCGTTGAAAGTGGAAAATTTTTCAAAATTTGCGGCGGCGGAACAAAATTTTTCGCTTTTTTCACTAAATTTTCTCAATTTTCTCAGTTTTCGTTGACGTTCGATCGGGAAAATGGAAAAATAAGGAAATTAAGAGAGGAGAGGCACTTAAGGTGCGGAAACTTGCTTGGATTTGATAAATCCGATTTGAATCCGGATAAATCCGACGAAAATTGGGATTTCGAGCGGATTTCCAGGGGATAATCGTTGTGGATTTGGGATTAAGTGAGTGTGGATATAGGGGGATATAGCTGGATATGGATATAGGGATGGGATGGACACGCCTCTTCGGAGATAACACATCATAGCTGCCAGCTTGCTGCTGACAGCCGGCTGCTTCATGACAGCCGGTCGGATGGTGACAGCCGGGTGGCGCGAGATGGGATGATTGAGTAGAAGTTAGTGGTGAGACTTACTTGAAAGCCCTTTCACAAGAACTACTTACCCGNCCCGTCTGTCCAGGTAACTTACCCACCCGTACGGGGGGATATTCCAGATCCCCACGATTCCAAAAAGCTCCGGGCTCCGATTCAGGCTCCGGAGCCATTAGGATTGATTTAGGGTTGATTCAGTTCCGTTTGTGAGTGATTTGCGACTTCGTTTTGATATTTCGTAGGGTTACTGCCATTATTATTTTAATTGATATGTTTTTATTATTATTATTTATTATTATTATTATTATTATTATTATATATTATTATTATATATTATTATTATTATTATATATTATTATTATATATTATTATTATATATTATTATATGATATGGATAAATAGGCAAATTATATGATATAATATGACAGCGTTCCGA